GATGCTGTAATGTGCAAGGCCTTTCCTCAAACACTTACCAACGCAGTCAGGGATTGATTCTCCACATTGGAACCCAACTCCATATCTTCCTTTTCAGACTTGGCTGACAAGTTCTCTGCGTTCTTTGCAAGTAATAAGCGTATCAAGAAGACAACCTCGTCACTCATGTAGATGTATCTCAGATCATAAATTATACAGTTTTCTGGATACATTCTCTGGGTATAATCAAATTCTTATGGGAAAAGAAGATCAAGAGAAGACCTCATTTATAGTTGATTCAGCCATCTACTGCTACAAGGTCATGTCATTCGGGTTGAAGAATACAGGAGCTATATATCAAAGACTTATCAATAAGATATTTGCTAACGTGATAGGGAAGAACATTGAGGCATACACAGACAACATGGTTGTTAAGAGCAAGCGAGTGGATGGTCATATTTCGGACCTTGAAGAGGTCTTCGCTATACTACGGAGGTACAAGATGAAGCTGAATCCTTCGAAGTATGCATTTGGAGTGGCGTCCGGCAAGTTCTTAAGATTCATGATCACACATAAAGGAATAGAGGTCAACCTTGACAAGATCTAAGCCTTGATATCTATGGAACCCCCGACATGTAAGTGGGACATTCAAAGATTAGCAGGTCGGGTTGCAACCTTAAATAGGTTTGTATCCCGAGTAGCAGACATGTGCTTCCCCTTTCAAAGTCTTAAGGGATAATCGGAGCTTCGATTGGAATGAAGAATGTAATATAGCCTTTCAAGAACTAAAGCAGGCACCGTCAACATCCTCGGTCCTCACCAAGCCAGAGTTTGGTGATACGTTGTTATTATACTTTGCAGTTTCTAAGAACACAGTAAGTGGGGTGTTGGTGAAAGAAGTGGGAAAGGTCAAGTGACCTATTTACTTTGTGAGTAAAGTACTTCTCGACCCAAAAACTTGGTACACATTGGCTGAACAACTTGCACTTGCCTTAATTATTATACGTCAATATTTTCAATCACATCCAATCATTGTGCTCACTGATCAACCACTTAGACACATACTTCAGAAATCAGACGTCTCGGGAAGACTACTGAAATAGGCGATCGAACTGAACGAATTTGATATAGAGTTCAAGCCATGGCCCCCAATTAAAGCATGGACCTTATCTGACTTCATTGTAGAACTTACCCCTTGGCCTCGGGGGCCACAAGATAATAACCCGAGTAAGACCTTGGAAATTTGGAAAATCTTTGAAGATGGAGCATCGAATAGTTTGGGATTGGGTGCTGGAATTACTATCACTAACCCGAAAAGGACTACCGAGATCCAATGTGCGTTCAAGTTCGAATTTGAAGCCACCAACAATGAAGCAGAGTATGAAGCTGTCATTCTAGCTTTAGAACTGGCATACAACCTTGAACTTGAGCATATCAAAATTTTCAGTGACTCACAACTTGTGGTTGGCCAAACGATGGCGCTTTTGAGAGAAAATATGAGAAGATGAGTCTGTATTGTTTAAAGGTACATGAGCTACGAAGAAGAATTAGAAGCTGTAAGATCATCAAAATTGCCAGAACTGGCAATGCGACAGCCAACGCATTATCTAGACTTATGTTCATACGGATAGATGAACTGGACAAAATGGTGCACATCAAGATGGGAACATAGCATAGCATAAATCAAAAGTCAAGCATCATGGATAATGATCATGAACCTTCTTGGATGGATCCAATATTGGAATACTTAACTAGCAGGAACCTACCATCTAACCCCCGAGAAGCGAGAAGCATTAAGACTAGAGCATCAAGGTACAGCATTATTGGATGAGTCTTATTTCGTAGAAGTTTTACACTACCCTACCTCCGATGTCTCAAACCTCAGAGTCCATCTAGGCTCTAACAGAAGTTCACGAAGGTATATGCGGGAATCATCAAGGGGCTCGTGTGCTTGCCTACAAACTCATAAGGTATGGGTATTATTGACCTAACATGAAGAAAGATGCATTGGACTATGTAATGAGATGTGACAAGTGCCAAAGATTTGGCAATTTGATACATATTCACGCAGAAGAACTAACTTCCATCCCATATGATGCCCCTTTCGAGCAGTGGTGAGTTGACATCATTGGATCTTTTCCTTTGGCAAGAGATCAGCTGAAATTCGTTCATGTAGTAGTAGAGTACTTCACTAAATGGGTAGGAAGCAGAATCATTGGCAATCATCTCGGAACCCAAGCTTAGGTCATTCCTATGGAAGTCCATTGTGTGTAGGTTTGGGATACCAAAGGTG